TTATCAAAAAGTATAGAATTTAAAAACATTGGTATCGCCCATCACTGGCTCCAAGGAGCATAATTATGGAATCCACTGCTTTTAATGGCAAGGCACGCCATTATTCATATGGATAATATTTATGTATAACACTAACAGTAGAAAACAGCTGAAACAGTGAGCACAACAACTACAGGAACTGTGTATAAAACCAGAGATTATTTCTGTAAATATTGATAAGAGATGAGTTTTTATTAACCTTTTAGACAAAAGATGTTTTTGACAGTCACACATCCTTAATAGGCTTCTTTTTTGACAAATTCCGGCTTTTCTTCTCTCTGATGTTTGGCCTTTATTCTGTTAGGCTACAGTTTGTGTTCAGGTTTGTGAACGTTTTCTTACACCCCTTAAAATCAAAAAGACTTTGTAACCCCCCGTGAAGCTTTGGCGACCCCCAGGTTGGGAACCCTTGAGCTAGAAAACAATAATCAGATTATAGATAATAAATAATGAGTGTTGCATTCATATTGCCGAGTCATATTTGCCTTGTATACAAAGCTGTGGTTACTTAATAACCAAAACTACCAGAGTGAGATCCAGTCAGTCAAAGAGCTGGATTTTCATTTGAGCTGACAAGTCAAGCTCCAACTTTGGGTGTTTCTATGACAAACTGTGTCACACCTCCATTTGGAAACAGATCTGCTTTATCAGAGCGTTCATTCGGACTGGATGCATCAGCAGCCAGACCGCAAGCTGCTTCAGCTCGCTCTCTGTTGCCTGGTAGAGATTTAAACATCACTTACACACAGCCAGCTCCTCAGTTGACCTCCATGATCGAGCCAAATGTGGTTAATAAGAGATTTCTTTGACGTTACTGAAAAACCTCAGTTCAGCAGGACTTCAAATGACATCTGCTAACTGCAGGCTAACTCTGAAGCCACAGCCAAACTCCCCAGCATATCTGGCCAGTGCTCGGTGTTAATTTGCCATCCTGGAGAACATAAACAGGGAAACATGTCCTCAGCATAAAAGACCATAATACTGTCACTTTGAATGGGCTTTCTCTGTCGCTGAATGTGTGGTGAAGAAAGACAGAAATGCTTTCCAAGAGTGAGATGAGAGGATCAATATCGATCTCATGTCTGTGTGTTCAGCACAGAGCTGGAGTCAGGATGTGGTTAGCCTAGCTTAGCATAAAAATGGGGGGGGGCAGCTAGCATGGCATAGTCCAATGTTTAATAATACACCTAACAACACCTCTAAAGCTCACAGATTCTCATGCTGTATCTTGTTTGTCTTTTTACATTTCTGTTTGTGATTAAACAGTTTGTTAAGAAATACTTCCAGTGAGTAACTTTACCTGAAAATGACAAACATCAGTGTATCCAAAGGGAAACAAATAGTGAGTAACTCCACATAAAAAGGCAAAATGTCAGTTACAACTGTTTTTGCACAGATGTGTGAACTGGTGAATTGTAGAGCTGCTGGGAAGCATGTTTCTGTACTTTGTACTGAGCCAGGTTAGCTTTTTTCTCTTTGCTTCCAGTCTTTATGCTAAGTTAGGCTAATCACCTTCCGATTCCGGCTCAGTCACTTTGTGTAATGCAAAGACATGACAGCAAACACAACCCTGGGGATTTGGTTATTTTAACATAAACTCGTCTCTAGGGGTTCAAGGACATGGTACTACACTAGGCGAAAGTAACACACATATCACATGCAAAAAAACTGCATGTTTTTTGCCCCAAACTGCATTGGTTTACCATAAAGTGGGAACGCCTGCAAACAGGAGAGCCGTGGGTACCCATACAGCCCGTTTTCATTCAGATATCTTGAGATCAGAAGTCAAAAGATCCCTTTTGAAAGTGGAAATGCCAGTTTTTCCGTCAACAAAATTTAGCTAAACTCTGGAGCGTTATTTAACCCCCTTTCCAACATGCTAGCATGACATGGTTGGTAGCTTTAAAACGGAGCCCACTACAGCCACCCCAGACTCTCCGTCTGGACACGCCCAGCAAACTATCTGATGCAGCCGGGTGACGTGCACAAAGCCAGCTCCATAAAAAAATTATTTTGGAAGAACTTGACCTCAACTCCGTTTAATACCTTTTGGATGAACTGGAACACCGACTGTGCACCAAACCTGATCACTAACATCAGTTTTGGATCTCACTAATCCTCTTGTGGCTGAACGGGAGCAGATCTCTGCAGCTGGGTTCAGAAGTCTGGTGAAGAACCTGAAACTAGAAGAGTGGAGGAGATCATATATGTCCACATACTTTTGGCCATATATTCTCTGGTATGTTTTTAAAATCTCACAGCAGGATATGTTAAGTTTCATCTCAGTCCTTCGCCTGTCTCAGTGTTTTTATTCCAGGGCTGACCTCAGCAGTGAGGTCACCTTTATTAGAGCGTTGGATTGGCTTTTATTCATCTGGCCCCTCCCACCGTCGCCAGCAGAGAGGAGAAATGATCCGTAGTGGAAATGTGGTGAAAAATAAAGACTCTCTCCTCCTCTTTCTCTCCTGTGAGCGTTCTTCCAACAGACCACGGATAATAAAATTTTGTACAAACAGTTCTTAAAAAGTGCAGTGATGGAGGAGGCAGGCGGCACGACCGGACTGCTTCATGTGTTTTCTCTTTATCTCACATGTGTAGAGCGGAGAGGGATTCATCATGTTGTGCAACTATGCAGAACCCAACACTGTTGGAAGAACACTGGATGTTTCTTTGGCACACTTTGACGCTTTTTATTGGCATGTTTAATGTGCATTCAACACAGTTTTGGTGGAATCACATCATTTCCAGAGTAGCAGATTGTCTTGTTGTGGAATATTTGGTCCTGATTTACACTCCAAAAGGTCCACAAATGTGTTTCTATTTGTTGTTTGCCTCTGTTGCTCTGTGACTGTCTCACAAACAATCACTAAATTATTCGTTCCCATTGGCTGAGAGATGAAGATGAAAGCGTTGCTTAAAGGTCCAGTGTGTAACATTTAGGAGACTCTATTGGCGGAAATGGAGTTTAATATTCCTACACGGTAAAAAGGTTTTGAGGCAACTGATTGCCTTAAACCATTTCAGTTTATACACTCAAACACACAGTACAAATATTTATTGTTAAGTTGAATTTACTCAGTTTTCTTCTACTAAAGCAAATTATTACATGTCAAAACTGCGGGCTTATGCTAAAACCAATAAATAATGAATCAGTTAATCAATTATCAAGTGTTAGCCAATGCATTTTCTGATAGTCATCTAATCTAATTGTTTCTGCTACTGTGAGACTACTGGCCGTTTTTATGTGAATAGCATCACGTATTTACACTTTGGAGGATCATTATGAATTGTTAACACAAATTTAAGTTCACTAAAACAACTGAGTTGCTTCAACAGTAGGTTTTGGAGTTAAGAGTGAATTCATGGGAATGACTCCACGTTTTCTGTGAGCTGCTGCTAACGTTAGCTCA